ACTCCAGCTTTGCTGAGGACTTTGGAAACAAAGAAAAAAAGTCATCAGGCGAGTTCCCTGAGGAAGCTGAGCCATCCCAGCTGTACCTCTGCAGCAAGGGACACAGGCTGGGACAGTGGAGAAAGGCTCTGTTAGCAGGCACTTTGGAAGGTGGAAGCCTGAGCTGCCTTCGTCCTTCACTCTCTGCCATAAAATCCAACCTGCCAGGGAGCTCAGGCTGACAGACGATGCCTTTCCTGGGCCTCCAGGTATTCCTTTAAGAGTGAGCACAGGAGCAGTGATCCCAGTTGCTTGGCGTGCTCCTGGCATCAGTGACTGCTTCTCAAGATATAGGAGAGCAAAGAGCAACACTGTAGAAGATAACTAGCACGCTTCTCAGCCAGCTTTTAGCAGTCAGTAAAGTGTTAATGTTCAGTGTCTTTTTCTCAGCCCTAGATAGACAGGCTACTGCTAATTTTCAGATATCCTATAACAGTTTGGAACTCAAAAGAAACTGGGTTTTTTAGAGTTTGAGTAGACATTTGGCAACTTGTGAAGTGTCAGATGAGTACTGGTGAATTTAAGAACTGAGGTGAATGTTTGTGTCAGGGAAGGAAAAAATCTTCACAGCAGAAAGTACTCTCTAACCTGAGACTAGAGGTACCTGAAATAAAGTAGCTTTAAACTGGTCTATTTCAATTACATTAAAAGCCAAATCCCTGCACTTCTGACACTTCAGAGACTAAAGCATCAAATACTGAAATCTAGCTTCAAGGCACTAGCCGCACACTTGAGACTTAATCAATATAAACCAAATATGGTAAAGATTTAAAACATGGCCTAAACATAATATACCATGAGATAATATGGCTGAAAAGTCCTATCTGAAAGTGCCAGCAAGGCAGAGGGGCCAGTATCTAGGTTTCAGCAGAGGAGACTTCTCTGCTGGTCTGCAAGTTCCAGCTCTGGAGAGGAGCCACATCCTCATGTTGTCCTGGGTGTCCAGCCTGACACCAGGGCTTTGAAAGTAAAATGTGCATGAGGGTCCTGCTGCCTTGTTTCCTGGGGTGCAGTCTCCATGCAGAGCCCCTGCTGCGGGTGTTGTGCTCCAGAGAAAGGCACAGGTGCAAGTGCTCAGTTTTCCAGCCTTTTTTAATGCCCCTGGGACATAGTAATTTCCCTGTGGATTCTCATCTAAATGATAAAAGACTTGGTAAATCTAAAATGTTCTTCACTGAACTATTGTTAGGGAATTTCCCTATTAGATTTATCACTGCTTCTACTAATTCAATTTAATCTATTAATTTACTCTCTATTAATGTATCACAGCTTTCTGGGTTGGGATTTTTTTTTTTGCCCTCATCTTCGAAGTGCTCAATGTTGACAGTGACGGAAACCTCACAGGAAGCATTGACAAGGTTTGAAAAATAATTCTGGAGCCGTTGTGTTGCTAAGGAAGTTTCATCAGCAGAACCAATGATTTGAGATTGTTTTCTCAGCAGCACATGAGATAAATGAGAACTGTTTCCAGATTCAGTAATTTTGAAATCTGAAGGAAAGATCTTATCAGTTTGCTGGCCACCCTGAATAGAATACATCAAGAAAGATTGATAGGAAACAGGGATACCTGTTTTGTTTTATAGAAAAAAAAAAAAAAAAGCCCTGCAAAAATACTTTAAGTAGCTGTTTCTACCTACTTCATTTTGCATTGAATATAAAACCTAAGCATTATTTTATATAACTAGTTTTTCATTGTACACTGCTAGGATAAGAAATTTGTTCTATGAAAAGAAAAATGAGTAAAAGTTATTAAATCGTAAAAGGAGACCCTGTGTGAGGTCTGAAATGCTGGAGTATTTAATGCATAATTGGGTGTCTTCCGGACTTTTCCTGGTGGATAAAGGAATATCTCAGGAAATTTTATTTACACAATTTTAACTTAAGATGCAGCTGTATTAGACATATAAGAGCATTTTCTTTTCCACCAGCTGCAAAATCTAACTTTTTCGAGATTCACCATCCTCAAATGCATGACAAATTTATTTAACTGACTAATAAATGCAAATAATGTGAACCCAAAAGCCTATGTCTAAATACAAATGTCAACCTTTGTTTGTTGAGGTTCTTCCCTGTCTCTAGCAAACCTTGGTTATTAAATATGAAGTATCCCACTTCCACAGGAGTAGGTCTGGGACCAGGGAGAAATAGTGGCAGGTGATATTTTACTGTAGCTGCAGCATGCTTGAACCATCCAAGGGGAATACATGACACATATCTGTGTAGCTCAATTTAATGTGCCGGGTTAGACAAGCACAAATGTTCATGTGCAATGTTTTTGCAGCATGTAGATATTTGTGTTACAGTATACTACTCAGTATATATTTAGAAACTAGTAGGAGTATATGACATCTTTAAAATAGATCTTTTAAATGTGTAGAAAACTTTTTAAACAGAAAAAAGCCCTGCTTTTTTTTTTAGATCATTGATGTAACTAAGCTACCACTAAACAAAAGCATATTTAGGTAAAGATAATTGTTGAATAATGACATCTGTTCTTCAACGAAGAATCTATAATTTTTATTAGACTTTAAATTTTCTTTAATTTTAACTTCAGATCTTGTGTGTATACAATACTATCTGTCATAATCATACTGTAACAGTAATTAATTTGGTGTGTTATTCAGCAAATATTAAAGTACATTTGACTGAGTTACAGATAAAACCTCTCCAGGTTAAAAATGCTCCCTTCATGTCATGTGGATCTAGTTTGAAGATTTCTGATGAAGGAAGGAGGGAGCTATTTTTTCCTTTGCCAATAAAAATAGATCACATCTATTTTGGGACTCTCAACACTATCTACAGTTCTAATTCTCAGACAGTAACTATGTGACGCACTGAATATATTTCTGCAGTCTGAGCTTCAAGAACCTAAAGATACTGGCCAGCTCCTCAGCTGGTGTAAATCAGCATAATTTCTCTGATCTTTATTAAGCTGGCCTTGTGCAAGATCTCTCGTATGCTTTTAGGCATTTCTGCTTTCTGATGGTTTAATTTTTCTTTTGTTTTTCTCACCTCTCTGGCATAGTTTCATACTGTTAATCCATGAACATCTGAGTTATTTTGGGGGCCAGCTCATTTGATACTGACTTTTTTTCTGCATGGGACAATATAATGTAGGTTCTAAGTGTTGGTTTGCTTTTATATAGAATAGGTAATCTGATCGAAGCACTCCAAATGTGCTATATGCAAACAAGTTCCTATATCACAAAGCAGGACGTAATCTGTGTCCTCCTTTAGCTTTTTTCTACTACGAATGCGTAGGTCTATTTTTCTCATACACATTTCTGTCCTGTGGTATCTATTTCCATATTTAGATGTGTATTTTATTTCATATTAATGGATTTGGGGTATAATTTCTTACATATAAACCAGTCTACAGAAAACTAAATAGGAAGGTTACTATAATTAACTTGATAGTAGGTGGCTGCTTCCTCTCTTTGGTTGCAAAAGAAATGTCTGCGTCTGCCGTGTGTTGGAGCTACAGCCAGTCCTTGGCCAACAAATTTCAGTAAGTTCTTCCTACTTAAAATTATCTCTGTGTGTGCGCACGTGCACGTGTGCATTTTGGTATCAGTCACTTTGTTTAGGTACTGATATCACATCCTGTTACGAGGAAGCAGCAACTTGCATTGTGTCTTGATGCAACAAATGCATAACTTTAGAAAAGTTTTGATAATAATCACTAATGGATTATCAGGCAACGCTTCCCTAAAGGCATGCAGCCCGGCCAGTGCACTTGAAGTTTTTTATAAGTCCGCCATCTGTGAAGAAATCTAATCACTTCATCACATTCTTACAGGATTTTGCCTTTTTCTCTGCAATAGTAAGCCTAACTTTAAAGGAAGTTTAAATACTATTGTTAAAAGATCGTAGCACAGCTTTCTTTTATGAGTGTGTAGTTTTGTTTTATGAGTGTGCACCTTGGGGTACAGATACTGCTCTAAATACATTTCTAAGCATCCTCTTTTATTTCTGTTCCAAACCCTACATACAATCTTTTCATTAGCTTGTGCCATGGGGAGTGGGGTGGGTAGGGGTGTCCCCAGGTTTCCTTTTTGTCAGGTATTGTTATATAAAGAAAAATTAATGTAAGGTAAAAAGTAGATACCTTTTAAAAGATAACAATCAATCATTCAAAGTCTGTCAGTTTTATGCACAGGCTGCTAGAAGAATAGATCTACATACAACAGAGCTTTTCTATATTGCTTAAGATTTTTCATCTGACAGAATATTGCGTCACTTGGAACAAGGGCTGTGTCGTGGGTAGACTTTCTCTGCTGAAGGGAGATACTGATTTCTGACAAGGAGTGCTTTGATTGTCGGGGAGTCCATGTGTATCTTCTCTATGAGTGCTTCTTGCTATATATTTTGAGACAAAGCCTAAGAATACAGCACAGAATATGATAATGCAGAATATAGAAAAAAGCTGTTGATTACCATTTTTATTTTTAGTCTCCTCATTGCAGGAGAATGCCAAAAGCAAACTTCAGCAACTGTATTATTCCTCATGACAGTATAAAATAGTGAGACAGTTTCACAAACCAGATTAAGAATCATAGTTTATATTGCTGCATAAATTGCTAAAATTGTATAGAAATCTGTATTGTGGATCATAAGTTAATGTAAAAACTCCAAGCTATTTTTTTTCCACTTTGTCTGTTTAAGCTACTGGGCAAGTTGTTGCATGAATAAATATATTTTCTTCCTCTGAAACTGTGTAATATTAAATGCTGTGTTGTTGGCATAAAATATAAGTTGATCAGACAGACAAAGATTATTATTCTGACAACAGCATACACAAGGGTATCGTTGTACATTGAATTTCAGTGTGTAATATGGTATAAATCTTCATGAGAGACTCAACTTTTATTGGCGGCACAGAAGGTGCTTTTCCTTATTAAATACAGGAGATGATCCCAGGGGATTTTTTTAAAACATCTTTATCCATTTTTTTCATCTAGTCTCTGGGCCCCAGCAAGCTGACAGATACAGTCGGGTAAGCATTTCTCTTTTGAATGTTTGACTATAGATACAGTCATGCTTTAGCACTTGAGACCCTATAATGTTTTGCCTCAACAGAACCAATCAGATCCCACACAAGCTCCACCTTTCCCATTCCATACATGGATGTGTGTGTGCCCTGTCTATAGCCTGTGGGACAAAAAAACCCACCTTAATTCTGTGAAACATTACCAATGAATCACTAAAATGACAGGGGTTTGGATTCTGCACTTTTGTTGTTTCTTGCTATCACTGACTGTCGTTGTCCTCTCATCATAACTGCTGAGGATTTATTTTCAGCACCAAGTGCTATTATTTCTGAGCACTGCACAAAATCAAGGGACAAGGGCATAGAGTAAGATACCCTCTTTGTGAATTTATACTATATGGATTATTTTCCTGGCCAATGCAAGTATATAATCTCTTTGTTGGACGTAAGTAATTAGATTTTAATCAACTGTCCATCAGGTCAGTTAGCCCACCCTCCTAAATCAGGAAGACCCAAGAGGCCATGGAACAAAAGGCAATTCAAGCTCACCATTGTTTCCCAGCCTTATTGTGGACCATAATCTTCTTTCCTTGGATAAGTACTACATGCAATTAAAATGAGCTCAGGAACTTCAGGCTCAGCTAAGACATCAAAGTAGGGAGCAACCCAAACTATGCCCCTTCTGGACCCTTTTCCAAAGTGTGGCAGGAATCCATAGCTTCTGCAAGAGGTGGCCTTGTTACCAGTGTTTACCATTTCTTCAGGGCAACCTATGTCTTTACTGAACCTGGTGTTTGCTAAGACCTCTCTTTAATCTTATTGCAGCAAACATAGCTGTGACAGGAGAGCTATGAAAAGCGCTAACAGGAGTGAATACCCTTCACCAGCTCCCAGCACCAGGAGTTTTTGCTATCTGTAGCTTCCCTTTTGGACCCTCATCAAGCCACCACTCACTGTGTTACCAGTAGTGGGGAGAAGCCCACCAGCACCGGCACGTGGCTGTGCTGCCAATCAGCCATGGTGAGAAGGCTCCTGGCCCCTGTGAGGCTCCTGCTGTCTGCCCAGCACCATGACCACTCCTGATTAGACGGACGCTGGAGCTGCACAGAATAAGCACAAAGGGAGGGCTTTGGGTGAAAAGGTGGCATCTCCCTGCAGGCTGTTGTATAGACAAGGATCCATGTGAAGCTCAAATGCCTTTCTCTGAAAATATTTAGGTGAGTGTTGTTCTCTGCATTCACTGTAAAGTTTGTGGTGCCCTTATTTGACTTCATTGTCTCAAAGTCCAGAAAGACTTTTAGCAGTTCTTCCATTCTAAACATGGGATTGATATTTAGCCAATCTGTCCATTGCTTCATTTTTGGTTTCCCTGTTATATCTTGCCATTTCCTAGTGCATTGTTCTCATGTTTTTGTACATCTGTGTTTCATTGCTTCCCAAAAATCGTAGCTTCTAATATAACATGGGATTATACACATGCTTATGCTTTTGTTTTGGATAGACCCATTCAGACAGACAGGCCTCTTCATCGTACAGGCTTAAGTGTTGAGGTAGATTATAGTTTTATCAAGACCATCTAAGCTATGTGTGCTGTATGTAGATAAGAATAGTTCCCAAAGGTGGGCAACCTAGTCTGGCTTCACAAAGAATTAACAGTGCCGTGCCAACTAGTGAAGCGCCTGGTTTTCAAACTCAAGTTTTAAATTGTATTTGGCCAAGAGTTGTTCTTAAAACTTGGATTTACTGTTGTTTTTTTTTTCAATTAATAGCATCTAAGTCTTCCCAGCTGCCTAAAATAATCTTTTTTTCTCCTGGTACTTTCTGTTACAGCTTTATAGCTTGATGCAATTAGGCTATACCAGTATTTTTTAGACCAGTACCAACCATAAAATCTGTATGCATCACCTTTATAGCATAAGTAAGGACTGTGGAATTATTATGGTTAAAGTACATGTTATTAGTGTTGTCTCTCTGCTGCTGGTTTGTATGTTTTGTTGAGAGAAAGTAGCAGATATAAGAATAAAATAATACTTTTTTGCCATCCATAGGAATATGAAATTGCATATATTGCTTTCAAAATTAGCTATCTCACATAAAGTTATATTGCATATAGCTGAGTAATAAAAGTAAGTGCATTTTTAGGTGTTCTTCAAATGAGGTCACAGTGCTTATGAATTTCCCAGTACTGCTTTGAGCTTACGAAATTATAGTGGCAATCCATGGAACGAGGATGAGAAATATTGCACACACATGCACATGTGTGTGTGCACTCATGGTTGATTTAAAAAACACACTAAACATAACTAATCACATTTACAGTTCACAAAGTATTTTTTCACCTGTGTATGAATGCATATTGATGTGAGAAAAATGTTCCAATGAGGATATAGTAAACTAGGGGGTGTCCCTGCTGACTGCGGGGAGGTCGGACTAGATGACCTTTGGAGGTCCCTTCCGGCCTGGGCAATTCTATGATTCTATTCTATGATTCTATTCATCTGTTAGTTTAAAGTGAGTGTGTCTTTGTCACTGCTAATTCTAATCTGCAGAATCATTAAACTGTGTCAGCTGACTCAGTCCTAATGCTCACATATACCATAGGAAAGATGTATTTTTGTACATGGCCTTCACAACCTAATTTCCCACTGTTTTCTCCAGTTAGCAGACTTAGGGCTAGCTATAAGATTTAGTATGTTTTGGTTTCCTGTATCTGGCTTTTACTATCATAACTTTTAAACAAATGTTTGGATTTGAATAGATTTGGTTTTAGCTAATATTTGTTTATTGTCTTAATGTTTCACTGGCTGTCAAACTGACTGCATCCCAACGTCCAGGTCGTAGTGATTCTTGAAAGGAGGTAACCTTCATGGATTTCCAGAGTGCTGCCAGCACAAAGCAGACATGGGCATACAGCAAGGAAAGGCTGAACTCTAAACACAATTTTCCAGCTCTACTTGGTGTAACTGTGTCATGAACCATATCAGTTCGTTCTTAACACATCATTTTCCTTCTTTTCTCTATATATTTTCTTCGCTCCTTCAGCTGCCCTTCCTCTTCAGCCTTTAGGCAAGTCAGTTTATTTCTTTGTTCTTTCCCAGTGCCTGAATACAGTAGTCCCAATAATTAATAATCAACTTTATTGAATTTACTTACAGTTTATCCATAGCTATTTTCTTCTTCCAAAGTTTTTATACTTTGAAATTGCAGACCAGAAATGCAACTGTTTTTTCAGACTTCTCCACATGAACAGTAACAGAACTGTGAAAAGGCTAAACTTTGGATTTCACTGTTTCTGGAAATTATAGCGATTGTAGCCTAAGAGGCTGTTTCAGCCTTCTCTGATGTTTCATCCTCTGCCTGGGTTTTTGCAAAAGCATGCAAATGGTCTTCACTACATGCATTTGTTGTATTCTTTGTACCCCGTGGGATGGACAGTAAAGCCAGCAGAAGTCATGAGAATTAAAGGGGACTACTGCTTGTGCAAACCCTGATCCAACTGGAACACTTCAAAAATTTGATCCAGGAGGAGAAATGATCACTGAGGCTGCTCTCCTCCAGGGTGTCTGTAACTCAGAATAATAGCTCTTGAGTTATTAGCTGGTTATGTTTGGCATTCATCTTCTGAAGTTACTGCCAAAGGCATATAGGCAGAATAAAGTATAACACCACAATGATAAATATGTGTCATTTCCCCCTGTCTTTCCTCAGAATTGTATAAAATGGAAAGGCATAACTGGAATGTTAGTAAATGTAATAGATCAGAATTTATTTTGGGTTGGTTTTTTGTTTTTTCCCAGCTTGAACCTTTTTAACATCAGACTTCAACCTGGAGTGAGTGACTTTCATGTCTGATTTACAAATCTTTCAAATGAAGAATGTAGTGTGGAAACAAAATAAATGCTTGCTTGGCCATGATTTTTCAGTTATGAGAATTTAGCAGATTAGGGAAAGAAAAAAACCAGATGAGAAAGCAGGCTGTGCCTGTGAAAGGAATGAGTTTGTCTTCTTGTGAACTGTGCATCTTCCACTGGCCAACTGGTGGGATGGGGAGTCCCATGAGGTCTCATGTCTCTCTTCGATTCTAGTCATGTTCCCTGTGCCACTACAATGTTTGTGGCCTTTAGCTTATTCTTATATTTGATCTATAAAATCTGAGCATATGAGAGAATAAAGAAAAAAAACTGGCAGAGTTACTGTGTGTAGCAATCTCATCTCTGAGTTAAATTTCAGATGGCAAAGGAATTCACAGTAAAACATTACTTTCAGTTTATAATTCAGTGTTCCATTTTTTCTCTGAGGGGCGAAAGATCTAAGATGCAAATTTTCTCTGCATTCTTCTTTTTGTCTCCAAGTGAGCATCTTTATGAAACTCAGATCTGACAGAGGCATGGTTAATAGCTGGCAGATATGGACTGGAAAGCTTTTCTGCCTGTCTTCCACCATACATTAAATCATAGTGATGTGCCTTTATTTTACCCTTTTGATTATAAAGTATGTTAAAACCAGAATTAAGAATGTCTTCAGCTCTTTTCAATTCACAGTGCAATGTGTGATAGTTAAACAAGAGCAACTACTAAATATTTTTGCTAATTAGAAAATGGTTTGCCAAATATGTTACCTCCTTTTTTTTTTCCCTTACTAAATTGTCCATCAGCAATTAAGAAATGGCCATAAAGATTATGGGCTATTGTTGAGGAAGACTTAATGGAAAAAGCTGCAGTAGTTGTAGTGAGATAATATGTACAAATGAGATAGCAGAAGATAAGAATGGCCATACTGTGTCAAACTGAAGGGCATCAACCCCCTGCTCTCCCCAGGAGAAGAGTAGAATCAAGCATGCATCAAGCTATACATTTCTGTGACTAGAAATCCACCAGGATGTCCACAAGGATGGAATAAGCGAAAGCGTGTATCTGTGTGTTTCATCACCTGACACAGCTTTTGGGGTTTTGCACGTTTTTTTCTTGGCTGAGTTTGTGGAATCACTCGTTGGTCAGATGTAAGCCCCAGCAATAGCTCTCCAGCTGAGGTCCTACAGTAGAAAAGACTCCTTCCTTCTATTGCTTTACCCTGATTCCTGATACTTTAATTTCTTGTATTCAATGCTGAAGACTCATTCTCTTGTAATTTACTTTATGGCATTAATGATTATATGGACCTCTGTCTTATGAATTCTTGGTAATTTCTTTTCCAGATTGTAGACTCTTGATTTATTTATCTGTGCTTTATGCATATTATTGAATGCAACTTCAAAAGCTTAGAATTAAAAGTATATTTTTCTAATGCTAAATGATACTTGATATGCAGTCATTAATTTGTTCTTCTAGATTAACATAATGTTTCATTAGCAAGTAAGACAAGACTGCAGAGTTACAAATATCTTATGACAATTTCAATTGTCTATTTTTATTTTATTTTATTCTGGCAACAAAATCTCCACATAAATTAATCCCATGCTTTTGACTTCATTTTCGTTTCACATATGGTCACTGATGTAGACGCATAAGTCTTTGAGCAGAAAGTAGGAACAGATGACCTCCTGAGACCTCGTCAACCTGAATTATTCTACAAGTCGATAAAATCTATAATAAGTAGTTTTCTTCAGTGATAGCAGAAACATATAAGCATAATTATAAACATGTAAACCTAATTTTTAAAAGGCATGCAAAAGATACCACAGATCTAACAGATCTTCTGCAAAGACAGAATTTGTGAATTTTCATCTGAGCATCCCTCTGTAGGGAACAAACTCTCTACCACAGCAAGCAGGATACTGAATATTTCTGTGCTCCATTTAATCCTACAACCCATTTGGCTAGAAGAGGTAGTCTGGTGGCCAAGCAGCATTTGTGCTTTAGTGCTGATGTGAAACCATGGAATGAGTTTCTGGTGTCCTTTACCCACCCCACCTCCCCCCAGAAAGATGTTAGGCTGATTTCTTTTTTTCCTGGCTGGTGAAATGTGCTGACATTATTTGTGAAATGGGTAAGCCATACAGGTTAGCTGTAGGTTTTACGTAAAAGCCTAAGCATCTGTAGACAAAATAAAAAATAATGTTATTTGTCTCCTCCTGGCCATGTATAGTTCAAATAGATAACTGGTCCAGGATTTTAATACTAGGTATAAGGCAAAAAAGGTACTTGCCCTAAATCATACAACATGATTGAAGGAGCACTGACAGATCGCATCACATCTGATGGAGCAAACAAATGAAGAGCATTAGCTAGAGGAAAGAGTTGGGAGCAAACTCCTGAAGAAAGTGGTGAAGGAGGAGCAAGAAGCATAAAATTCTGGGAGCTGTGCTGTGTCAGTAAATGGGAAAGAGGTGGCTGCAAGAATTTTTTAATCCAGCAGTCTTTGGCTGGACTGAAGTAGGGAAAGAGTGGTAGCAAGGAACTTGATGGCCAACACCTCAGGGAGAAATACCCACGAAAAGCCAGTGTCAGTGAGGGACAGGGGGTGAAGGGCACCTAAGACACGGAGCTGAGAAAGTCAAAGGAACAGAAAAGCAACCAGGTAGTTCAGGTTTACCACACTTTTAGAAGTGAAATAAATTTCAGGATTGCAAAAAGTATTTTGCAAATAAAAAAAAACCTCAAAACTTCAAACAATGATGACACCAAAGAACAAATGTCAATATATTTGTATATCCTGGAAAATGACTCGTGAAGTCTTTCCAAAATTACTTCTAGCTTTATGCAGCTCAGGGAGATATATGCATATGCCCATGAATTGTTTAACTGTAGAAATGTCTATTTTTCCTGTATAGCAGGAAGGGAATGGGAATGTTTTATAGCTTAGGCTTTTCAATAATAAATAAATGGCTTACATTCTCAGTTTGAGACATTTTGATTTTTGTGTACTGTATAATACTGAAGTATACAAGTTTTTTTTATAGAGAATTATTTTTCCCTTTTTAAAAATAATATAAAACCTCAAGAAGATGATAAAACATCACAGTTGGTTTCTAAATACTTTGCATCTTAATATGGTTGAAGTTAAGGCAGTAAGTAATTTCTGAGTTTTTCCCTTGAGCTGCGTAGTTCTTTTCATATGTAATTATTCTCTGAGTGCATTAGATAATGCTATGGTTCCCACAGCTGTATACACATCTATAAATCATTAATGAGGCAGTTAACTGAAACAAAACTATAAAAGATTTGCATTACCTGGCAGAACCCAGCCTTAATTGACTTCCAGTTATTTACAATTAATTTTTCCATTTGGAATAATGATTGCAAGCAACTTAGGTTTTTTTTATTACTCAGGAATTAGATGCTGACTATGCATCAAAAGTTTTTACAACAGGACCCTGTCAGTGGACAGTAATGAGCTTGAGGTAATCTTATTTTTACATGCACATATACCCGTACAGCCCCCTCCCCACATTGGCAGAGGAGACAGGGCGCTGGTAGTAAAATGGGGACAGGAGTCAGCACTAACTTTTTTTTTTTGTCACATACCTAAGTTGAACAACAATTAATTTCCTTTCTTTATAGCATCTAGCTGAAAGGCGACACAATGAATAGAGCTGGCTACAGTTATAGATAGAATAAACTGCATGCATGAAGAGTGAGTAAATATTTATTTCTATCTTTGTATCTTACAAGACTCTAAGGTAGAAACCAGGTAATAAATGATGCAAAGGCTGTCAAGTAAATATTAATCCATTATACTATTTAAAAAATTACTTTTTAGAAATACAGCATGCAAAGTAAATCCTCATTAACTTGTAATCATTTGAGTAAGTCACAGAACTCGAGGCTGTGCATCAGGCTCTGGACAAACACAACTAAAAGATCTGTTCTCTCTGGCATATAAGCATAACTCTCATTGACATTAATGGGCTGAGCATGTGTTCATCAGGAAGGGATGTCACGTTCAAATTCCTAATAAAACTTAAGTCAAAAATAACCAGAGTCCATTTGCAGCAGCTGATGTTATCTTCATTATCTTTCAATCTTCAGTTGTGAAAATGCCTAAGCAGATAGATCCCGTCAGTTGTAACTCCTGGTCAGCTCTCTGTTTCTAAATCATAGCTATAAAATAGGTAAAACCTTATGTATTGGGGTGCACTATACTGGAACCACTGTCATTGGAAATCAATCATTCCCGGAGATTGAGCAAATGATACCTTTAATTATATCCCCTTGCTACCTTCATGGGGTACAAGATACAGAACACAAATGTTTGGGTTTGTTTCTTTCTCTCCCTGTCAGATATCGCTGTCATGCTGAGGAAGTAAAATTACCTGGTTTTTTTTCTTGTTTCAGAATAAATAATTTTGTTGTCCTTTGGCTTACGTTTAAGACTGTGTCTTTCCTGTCATGAAAATTGGCTAGGTATGCTGCTCTGAGTGAGGACTGAAAGTAAAACCAGTGTTGTGAACACAGAAAAGGGGAGTTGCAATGAGCATTAAGGGCTTTGATTTCTCTGCAAGTTGTGTAGACCAGAAGAGGTACACTGGTAACTATGGGAGAGCTTCATCCCGAGCGATGGTAAAGCTCATGGCGGCTTTCTGCACCTTAGCAATAGGTGCCACTGAAAGGCGACTATAATTGATCTAGAAAACGTGGGCCCTGTGACAATCAAACACTTGTAACCTTGAAAATCTTGCAATCTAGTGCTGAAGTAATTTTTTTCCAGGTTATGTTCTGCTGAATGGTGTTACAATGTGTAATGTAAAGTAACGTGACAAGACTAGACATGGGTCATTCAGTCTGTCAGTAATTCAGAGCTTGGCAAATTGGTCCTCCCTCTTCACCAGTCCATGAACTTCACAGATACTTAACTTATTCATGCTACACTAGCTACCACATTATTTTAGCTGGAAAAGCTACTGTGATCTGTGAAATCTGGGAGGCTTTTCTTTTTGAAATTGGGCTGGTACCAGATGAGCAAACAGTATTATTATTTTCATTAAGATATCACATCCTGTCAACACATAACATTGGCAATTGCATTTCAAGTGATTTCATGCTTGACAAATTGTATAGCGTAATTTAGACCATCTTTTTGCTGTGTTCATGATCCTTCTTATTGGGCTTAATGTCCTGGGGTGGGGAAAGGGCTTTTATTCTTTTTGTAAACTCAGAGCTCCAGTAACTTTCTATGCACATAGGTGATATTGCTGCAATGAGGGTTTTTTTTTTCTACTGCGTGCAACTAGTTTAATAATTCTAAAACTGAGAAGTCCACCACAGTCCAGAAAGTATTAAACTGATCTACCTCTTCTTTCTTACATGGATTCTGAACAGTGTCTGTTACTGCCTGTTTTCAAAGCAGTGAAAAAGAAATAGCCTGGATTTGGAGTTTCTTGAGGGTTTGATTGGAAGAAGCCAAAAATAATTTCAGTGAAAACAGGACTTTCATTTGGTGAAAATTTCTGTTTATTTGAAAAAACATTAACTTTCAAAAATATGCAATTTACTTACCAGCTCTGTTATAAATAAAGAGTGTTATTCCTGCAGCGTTTCTCATCACAATAGCAGACTTCTCATTTTTCTGTGACTCCTTGCAGTATTATGAGCATGGCCTGGTTTTGATTTTGATTCAGAGCCAGCATCTGTGAATCAGGTCTGCGAATTAAACACAACTGCTTTTCTCTTTTTCCTTTTATTTGTTTTTTTCCAAGTTAGTGGGAGCCGAACATAATAAATATTACAAGAAATAAAGAATTACAATTGGGGTGTGAGGAATTCATTTTTTCCTTTGGAATGGAATCTCAGTTAAACTACCAGGAAAAAGCCATGAAAGGAATCAGTGGTTTTTCCACTGCTTTGCACATTGTGGAGTCATTTCAACATGTGTAATATAGGTGTCAAATGCTAATAAATCAGCTGTCAAATGCTATCAAATGCTTACTTTGCACAGGTGTAAATGATCACGTAAAATGCAAAGCACTGATCTGACACCAAAAATCTCTGAGTACCATTTCTGTCTTCACCAGTTTTATAGAACTACTAAAAAAAAGTCCAATAGGCAGTTTATTCCTTGTTATTTAAGTTACTACATTTTTTCGACTGTTTTCTTACTTTTCGGGATGTGGGTCCCCTCTGCCCCCCAAATTTGTCAGTAAGCGAAAGAATGCAATAATTTATGTTGAATTGCTTTGGACTGGTCTATAAAGAAAAATACATTTCATAATAATATTACAAATGATAAAGCATTTTTCCTGCCAAAACATCTCTGTAAGTGCCCCAGCACCATCAACTGATGGCAGCACAGCTCTGGGAATAAACAGACTTTCAGCTAATGGCAGGAATCATCAGGGGAAACACGAAACAGGTATATCTTCCTGATACAGAATGAAACATATGATTAAAGTTAAACGCCAAATCCTACTGGCACTGTAGTGAATTAAAGTTTATTTTTCATTCCTGTTTATTCTTTCTTCTCTTTTTAGCTAATTCATCCTGTTTCATTTAATGCCAAAGTTTTTTTCCTCTCTATTTGGCCACTTTGGTGGAAGGGGGACAATTCATTAAGATTATAGCTTTAGGCAAAGTCCAGATCATATAGCGCAGAGTGCAGGCACTCCATGCCTGTGTTCAGCCCCCAAGGGTAGGGGTCAACGTGCTGTGACCCCACGCACTTCTCTGCCTCTGCCCCCTGGTGCCGTGCACACACGCGTGTGACACTGTGACACTCAGCTGCTTAATGCATAATATTTATGTGAGTCTGTGTACTTTGAAAGCATTTTAATAACCTCAATGGAAGAAGTATTGTATTGCAATGCTTAATATAAAGGAACTATGATGCAAACTTTGTTATGATGAAACCATGTCTTTACCTAACAATTCAAAATGACCAAGTTTCTCTCCATTGTCTTATTTCAGACATTCTTGTGAAAAATAAACACGGCTGTCTCACTGTTGGCTGACTGAAGCACGACGATTAACTAGAGCTGGGCGAATTCTGTGTAGTTCAGTGTGAACTTGCCAGTTCTCTGACGGTTTCATCTCCACCATCCCTCTGACTGGCCAACGTTTATTCCAGATACTGGGCGCTTGCTCTGTTACCAAGAGCAGCAGGTATGTGTATGGCTAACCTGTCCGAAATTTTTATTTTTTAAAATAAGGACCTTAAAGGTAGAGGCATGTATTGGCATAGAGCTGGATTGCTCTTAGAGGTACTATCTGCAGTTAGTCGGGCAGATACAGCAGCCACACAACAGAAACGGGGATGCTAGGGCAGCCCTCAGAGCTCTCAGGGAGCATGAAGGAGAGCAGTTACATTTTTGGGGACAACAAAAACCTCTCCTTTTCCCACAACTAACCCCTCTTGTAGGCAGCCAAAGCAAAGAACTGATACGTAGTAATAGGGATCTATTACTCAGTAAATACATATTTCAATGTCATTTTTGAAAAAGCAGTGCAAGCAGTGCCTACATTTTCAAATATGCAAAGCCAAATGTCTTTGTAAAAAGTTTAAATATTATAAAAGATCCAATTTGTTAAGTATCACTTATCATAAGAGCATTTTAATATATGGTTCTGTATTTCCTTTCATAATTTTGGATTATGTCAACAGAATCACATAATGAAGACATAGTAAAATCTTATTGTATTTCTAACTGGAACTCAGAATAATGGGAATTCTTCTTTATTTTAAAAAATGAGCTCCAAAAAGAATATCTGTGCCTACCTTAGATTACCACCCTCCAACGTTCATGCGAAGGATGCTCTATTAAGATGCCAGCGTTAGCTGGCCAAGAGAAGCAGAAATGGATGACAGTCTAATGGAAGGGGGGCAAGCAGTTGTGCTGTGCTGACACTGAACTGGCTCGTTTGATTCCTTTGATGTACAAATATAAAACTGTAGTATTCATAATTCATCTATAAATTAATAATTTAAAAAGACTTTTCTCCCCTTCCATCCCAGCTTCAACTCGTCAAAGATGCCCTTATTTGCAGGCAGAACTAAAGTCAAAATGTTTATTAATAGTGATTTTTACAACTGCCTAAACATTTGTAGTATGTATAACAAATGATGATAGCACATGACCTGGCTTTAAACAAGTCTCTGTAAATTCTTTTCTGTCTCCCTCCCTCCTCACCCCAGCAAGGAAGAGCAGCAGGAGCAGGACACTGAGGTACCGCGGCAGGAAGCAGCAGTGGGAAGCGTGACGTCTTTACCCAGGTGTTGGCTGCCAGAGGTAAGAGATCCTCGGCCCGGGGTTGGCGAGGGTGGGAATTAGCACATGGTAGTTTAGGGTTAAGTATGTGCTCATGCACACACATGGAGCAGTTGTGGAGAGCAGCTGAGGCCATGAAGGAAATTCATACCAATTTGGGTTAGCCCACATTTTGTCATGTTACCAAAAATATTCTGTAAATAAATATATTAATGGGCCACTTGTAGATAGCAATTACTTAAACCAGCATTCAGCTTTTAATGCACAGCCATGCATTTCTAAAGCAGAGTGTTCTTGCTGTGTATTACTATAGATCCAGATTTTAAATTGAGATTGGTCACTATTGATTCTGTTAGAGTTTATTATGATAGCAGCCTGCATTACACAAGATTCATAAAATTGCTGAAGTATATCGTCCATTAACCTGCCTGCGTTTAGCCAAGATCACCTTGTGTCCAGCTAACACCAACTTTATTGGCATAATGCCATTCCAAAGGCAATTTACAAACAAGGAGATGCTTTGTAGGAAACTGGAGCTGTCACAGAGGCAGATGCAGAGGGGCAGCCAGTGCTGCACCCCAACCTCCTCAGTGACCTCCAGCCTGCAAACACCCGTCCCCAGCTGAGCTTCCTGCAGCCCAGACGCTGCATCAAAATGGGTTGTCAGCGTCCTGCTGCTCCCCCACTTCTAGGGTGTACTGAGGACACAGGCACAGCCAAAGTCCTGCTCCTCTCAGGCATTTTTATTTGAAAAAAAACCAACACCAAAAGCCAACCCCTCCAAGAGGCGATGTCCCTCTTGGGCTACCAGCACTGTAGCCGGCTGGGGCTGATCAAGCTCACTGCCTCAAATGAGGAGGAGCATGGTGAAGGCTGAATTGCCAATTGCGCTGCTCTACCCTCCAGGCTGGAGGGTATGGGTTCTCCAAAACTCTCCTCCTGAGACTGTTTCACTCTATAAAAGACAAGATGAACAAGAAAGGTGAGAACTGCAGCCAAATGTGAAATGGTGCCCACGAGAAATCAAAAAAAGCTCCACATTGCCTGTGTTTGCTGTGCTGGACCACCAGGCAGCAATCAGGGGGCCACGCAGCTTTCTGAGAGCAGCCCACGCTGACCTGTACTGGGCACGGAACCACAGGGGACAGGGACTGTTACTCTCCTCCTCTTTATAGCTTACTTTTAGATATGAAAGACAATTAATTCTTCCCTTAGTTTTGTCTGCTCTGAATAAACAATCCCAGCTCTTTCTGCTTCTGAATGACACGATCAACAAAGACCTAGAAGAGGTGCCATGAAAGCAATTTCTCCATTTTCTTGCCTTTTCTGCTCAGTTGCAGTGCCTGGAACTAGGAGTCTGCCCCGAGGCTTTGTACACTGTCACAGGCCGTGTCAGACCTCCCCCCCGGGAAGCCTGTGTGTCGGGGCAGAGGCTGTGTGTGCAACACAACACACACACAACACAGCCTGTCTGGGCTGGCTCCCTGCTGGGAAACAGCTCCTCGGCTCCGCTCACCCCCACGTCTGCAGCTGGCACAAACAACCACACAACTTTTGGGGCCAGACCCCTGTGCAGGAGGGTGTCATTTGGAATACTCCTGTAGAGATGATAGGAGGTAAAATTGAATAAAAAACATTTGACATCCTACACTTTTATAATTATTCAATCATAAATGGCCAAACCCATTGCTTGTTCTGGCTTTAACAGGTTCCTCCAACAGAAGGTGTTAGTTACAAGTGTGCTCGTTAGGTTGAGCTAACACGTAAAAAGCTCAGTGTCTTGGTTTGTCAATATTTATCAGGAGCTACCCAGTAAGGACTTAACATCAGATTCAGTGTCTTAAGTTTATCAGTTTCCTAAATCTCATTTGCCAGTACTTTGACATTTAAAACTATTCTGGGAAGGACAAATTAGAAATCAATGATGTGCTCATCAACCCAGTATCAATGCATCCCTAAGAAATGTAGATCAGCCATTGATGGAAAAAAAAAAACCAAAAAGCTAAAATTGCCTTTATGGAGACTAAAGAAAAATGCAAAAATGCTTCCACTTCAAAGACTGAAATATTTAGTTACTTTAAGTCTTTCTAAAATGCATCAAAGAGCTCTCTTCAAAATCTGCAATCCACAGGAGCAACACCAGAGTTCGGTCAGTCAGTCAGAAATGCTGCAGTACCCCAAGGACTCTTTCAAGTCCTTTTTAAAAATAAGATTTAGAAATAAGGTCCAACCCTCATTTCAGAGAATCCTGATGTATTACACAGCGAAGCTACACTTTGAAAGTTAGCAAAAGTCTGTTAAGCAGAAAAAAAAAATCTAGTGATAAAAATAAATGAAATTCTGAATGCTAGACATACAGATATAGGTAGTAGCACACATAATCATAGGAAATATGTCCCCCATAGATCTATTTAAAGGTTTGTTTTAAGTGACAGTGATTTAATACAGGGGGTGTGTGTGTAAACATAAGTATGCATATATAAACATGAGTTTATAAGTAAATAAGCATTCTGCCTTTGACCCATGAATGAAAGTAAAGAGTGAACAGGTGATTACTTAATTCCACTTGACTCAAACCAGCTTTCAGTCACATATTTTGAGAAAGCAATGTTTCAGCTGCAAAGTTCAGAATTTGGAACATACAATAATTAGGAAAATGTTTAATGCCAACCCACCCTCTTTATTATGTAATTTCTTCAAGTAATTTTAATAGTGCAAAATATTGTTTTGCATTAGTACAATAACCATGGGAATTCACAGTCAAAAAAAAAATCTTAAAAGATTTCCAAAGTCAAACAAAAAAATTTTTAATACTGTATTTTTAGCAAGAACATTTTTAACAAAGAATGTGTACTTTTAACTTAATATGGTACAACAGAGAAACCATACTTAAAAGTTTCCATTATCTAACACTCTACTGCATATTCATTTTTTCATCTTAAAAGACCAAAAGCCAAGCTGAACTGAGCATAAAAAAAAAGCATCAATTATAATCCTCATATTACGTCAGCTATTAGGGTTTAGCTCACACTTTTGAATTGGTCATCTAATGAAAGGACAATTTTTACATCATTCTTTTAAAAAATGTACACACATTTCTTTTTAAAACGTAATATATATCGAGTATCTGCTTCAGTAAACAAAGCTTAATTTATAAACACAATCGAAACAGCTCCATGTTGAACAGTTTCAGTGATAAACTGGACTTGTATGATGTACAGCCAGCGAGGACCTTTGTGGCTTAAAATCATTGTGCCATTGCTATACAGTAATAGCTACCTCCTTAGGAAAAAAAAAAGTTCTTTTTTGGGGGGGGAGAAGGGGAAATAATTCCTGTATGTGCTTAAAAATACTAAAACTCCTTTCTATCTCTGGGGACCTAAAAATGATCTGTTGCAACAGGCTTGGTTTGGTATGGTAAGCTTGTAAAAAGTCTCAATATTTCTTAATGACAATACGGCAGTTTTCGATGCAGCAACAGTAAATTGCTTGAAATTGTCCTTCAAGTTTCATGCTACAAATCCTGTTCTTCACACAGTACTGAAGGCATCAAAGGTTGGAAGGGACGTTTTTCATGAACTATATAGTCTTCAAATAGTGATCATTATACATTTTTCAGCAATAGGTGTTTCTTTCAGTACATAATAGTAGGTTTGATGTATGTTCTGTTTTCTGGAGGTAAAAAAAGAAGAAAAGAAAAAAGTCAATTACACAGTTACACATTTTATAATCAATTGAAACAGGCGGGTTTCCTTATTTGTTTGTGGACTTCTTTTTTCTCAAACCAAATTATCAGATCTACAAGTGATCCAAACTGTCCATCATGTGAGTACACTTTACACTGGATAAAGAGGCGCCTGAGGCCCTGGAGAGGTGGCTGTTGGGCGGAGAAATGAGCCTGTCTCAGAGCACTGACCACCTCCGAACCCAGTGGCACAGGTGGGGGCACTCAGCTGGGCTGAAAATACAACCAGCCTTGTTTGTAACAGTGGCTGCTGCAGCAGCTGCTGCATTATAGACTATAAATATTTTTATTTTAATTTTCTTCCTTTATGACATTTGCTTTTAAATTGAACCCTCATTTTCCTTCTTTTTTTCAGTCAGCAGCCTGTGTTGTATTGCATGCCTCTGTAAGATAGACCGAGTAGCATGGCATCAGCTTTACAGCATACCATTATTAAATGCACAAAACCTTCTTGGGAACAGTGTGTTAAAACAAAATTGCATTGCATTAAAAAATGGAATAGAAGTAAATCAATATCTGTTCTTTGGAAAACGGTTCTTTTATTCAGGAACTGCCACATTTCCTTTAAAAATGTTTTTCTTTATTTGGGGAAACAAGTAGAAAGCCACTTATTTCCTTCATAAAAATATTCCTAGCTATAGTACCTATCAACTATGATTTTTTCACATTAAGCCCAGAGAAAAAATAAATATTAAAATGCCCACAGAAACGAAAGCTAACAAGAATCCATATTCCTGTTCATTATACAATGAATCATGAATCCACCCAGCTAAACCCGCAAGTACTGATCTTCAAGATGATAGTAAAATGATAATATTGAGAAGCATTTTGTATAATGTTGACATCTATCCCATTACTGTTTTACATATGCCAATACTGAACACTCATAAGGAAAGAACAAGTATTGACCTGCGAACTGACACTGATCCTTGGAGCAATCTCAAAGTTTGCCACATTTCAATTTCAAAATGCATTTCAGCTATAATATGAGTGATTTATCATTTAGCAGTAGCTGTCAAAGTAACCTCCTAGATAAAACAAAAACATCTGGAACCATAAACAGAGGAGAGCAGTAGCTGAATTTTAATCCAAATCCGACATGTTCACTTCATTAGGAACAGGAAACAGCTAATTAGTAATTGAATGTTTCATGGTTTTAAGGAGGCTCAGACTCTCCAAACAGAGATGATTTAATATGTATTTTGGATGTAAACAAGAATAAAGATCGGAAGAGCCAGGGACATAACATCTCCAGAGGAACATTTGGGAGCATGGGAACGTCCAAAGAAGTGACTAAAATTAGTTTCAGGCCTTTGGCTGATTGAAACGTCTTCACCTTAGTGGGGCAAATACTAAAGGCTGGGGAGAGGGTAAGCAGAGATGCAAATACTGAACACTGTGGGGTTGGTTTGTTTTGTGGGGGTTTTTTCTCCTTCTGATTATTAGGAAGTTGCATGTGATTTCTTCCCATTGCAGGCTGTAGGTGATGGAGCCTGTATTAAAGCTGTACTTCTACAAAAGGCAGCTGACAGAATCTCCAGGTTGGGCTGCCCTCAATGCCAGGCACAGTCTTTACAGACAGTCAGAAAGGCTGGAGCTCTGCCATAGCGTGTGTGGTGGTGTGCTCTCCCTGGTTTGCCCCCCCCCCTCTCAGCTCCTGCCCGGCCTTGGCCACCCCGGCCATCACAACAGCAGCTGTGAGACCTTGCACCCGGTCTCTGGGGGATGGCTGGCAGCAGAGTCAAAATACTGTCTGGACTGGGGACCTAGAAATTTTGTTGCCATGAAAATATGACTATAGGTCAATTATCTTACTGTATAAACAGTGGACAGCCCAAGAGCCCCTTGGAGCTCTCCTGTATGGCAGCGGCTGCACGCCAGGATCTCCCCTTTGGTGAGGATGCTCACTGAAGGTTCTGCTCCTCGAGGTTGAGAGATTCCTTGCCGCAACAGATTCTCGGTAAGTGACTACTAGCATGCTAAACTTTGAAATTGTATCTAAGTAATGCAAAGGATTAATTGTGCATATATAATCCTTTAGACATAAACCGTTGACCAAGTCTGGGACTAGGACTGGATCCAGCCGCACCCAGACTCCTCTCTGAGAAGGAGTTTAGAAAGCAAGGGGGTCCTTTCTGAACCTCGTGACTCAACGGGAGAGTCTCCCTGACAGTTTGTCTGACCCTGTCCTCTGTGCAGTAAATAATAGAGTGTACCCTGACATCGAATCTTGTAAAACACTATCGCATTTACCACTGGTTTTATCACACTACTGGTTTTGTTAAATCACTATTTCACCTTAATAAGTATTTCACTGCTTCACTCTAACTAGTGAAGTTAATCACTCCGTCCGCGACAGCGTGCTGCTCGTGCCAGTCACACACCAGTTCCGAGCCCCACAGAGGAGCAGCCAGAGCATGACATGTCCTGGGCATCCAGTGCCCACGCAGCAGCGCTCTTCTGAGGGCCTGGGCTCAGCAGCCAGATGTACAAAGGTATCTTCCTGCCTGCCCACCTACACGGGGTGGGATGTACAGGCAGGCTTGGCCCATTAACACCAATGACAGTCAGCGGGAATTAGGTACGTAACTCGCAATTTAAATGGCCACTGGGCATCACCTTCATCTTCTGATAGGTTTGATTGAAACTTGTGCAAAGACAGCGAGACAGAGACCACATATGTGTGGATGTCTATGGTGCTGCACCTGGTGACAGGAGGAGGGGAGGAACCTGGACATGGATTCAAGGGAAGATCAGGAAGGATCAGGTAATATTCTTTTTTTAAAATTCTTAGTATTTTTATTGTATTTTAATAATTATTTTTCAAACTAAGGTAAGAGGTGGTCATTGAGGGTATCACAGGCTGATGGACTGACTATTGAAACAGATTTCAATTTTCCCTTCCTATTCCTTTTATATCTCAAGGGAAGATCAATGGAGGTATCTGGAATACCTGTAAGAGAGAAAGTAAATGCCAAAGCTCAAGCATAGTGCAGCCACCCAGGAGATATTATTGATCAGTAAACAGAAAGTGCATAGTTAACTATTTCCTTTTTTATAAAGCTCTCAATTATTTCCAGAAATTAAAATACTTTTTTGTTGCTGTGCAATAAACTTAACTCCGTGGCATTAATGTCATACAGCAACCACCTATGAGGAATTAAAGTGTTAGGAGCATCTGTGCTACCACTTATACATGAAAGACAATGCCATGTTGTCAAATTCATCTTTTTGGAGAATATTCACCATCCCCTCAGTGTAGCTGACTGCAAGCTACATACCATTTTACAGCATTTTACTGTATTATACAGCAAAGATTTGAATAAATCTGTGTGCAATAAATGTATTCTTTTATTAGGTTTATCCCTTAATCAAATGTTCATTTATGTGAGCTTCATTCTATTAAAAAATGAAATTATACAAAGGTGAACAAAAGCATAGATTTACAGTAGTTTAAAGCCTAATCTCATTCTCTAGGGGTAATATTGACAATATAAAAACTGTATAAATGATATTCCCTAACACTAAAATATGCTTATGAGCCCCCTGTGCATGTTATACTGCTTTACAGCCTACAGTGAAATGCATGACTGGCTTAATAAGCAAGACATTTAGAAAGGATTTTTTTTCCCTGCACAATGTATAAGACAAGTAAAGATCTCACAATTTCTCACTGAGCCAGAGCCTATGTTAATAATTGTAATTTTCCCTTGGGATGGTATTGTCTTCTCTGAGTTGTTAGTCCAGGGTATACATTCATCTCTTGCACTCTCTTTCAACAACAGTATCATCTTTTTCTTTCAAGGTTTTAATGTGTGTATAAAGGACAAATCCAAAAGCTGTAATTATAATCTGCATATTTATTCAATTTTCTCTTTTTTTTTTTTTTAAATTCTGCCTTTTCAGCAGCCCTGATTTTCTGAATCCTTTGTGAGGCTTTGTTTGTAATATCTTTAAATTGGTAATTCAACTGTATTTCCATAATACAGTAACTTTAAAACACAGTGTCCACGTGTACTCTCACAACATGCATGAAGAACCAGGCCCCAGTAATGCTGGTTGCAAATCCCATCCAGGACGGGGAGCAACGCGACGCAGCCGTCGGGCTGTGAGTAACTGGGACAGCTACGGGCTGGGATTGTTCAACTTCAGCACGCTGCAAATTGGAGGAAGGAAATTTGAGATCTACTACATAATGAGAAAACAAGGATAAATTTGTTGTATCGGTAACTGTAAATTATTCATGCAATTTAAAAACTAAAACCCAGCACTACATGTTGCAGAGATGAAATAATAAACTGAAAATCCCACTAATTAGATGAAGGAGAGTTGGGAGAGCTTGTAAAATAAAGGTAAGGCTGAGACGTGGCTGTTTCTGCAGACAGGAGAGCTGCAGGAGGGACGAGGGCAGCACAACTTCTACTTGAGGGGCTGAGTCAGAGTCTCACAGGTACCCCAGGTGTGCTGGGCAGGAGCTGAGCTCTCCACCCTGCCGGGGCCACGTAAGCAGAGTCAGTGTCTCAGTGAGGTCACAGCCAAGCTGAGCTTTGCAGCGACACATGGAAAAGACAATGCCATGATAATAAATCTAACTTATTCGGGCTCAATAGACTGATTCAATCTGTTATTTTGCAAAAAGAAAAAGAGGACTCGGAGAACAGTTTGCATTAGCTCCTACTGTGGATGAAATCCTACAAAAAACCCTCTGTCCCTAAACCTCTTAGCAAACAGGGGTGCTAACTGGCCTGGAGGGAGCCTCATCTGGGCCCCTGCTGGTGGGGTAAGGCCCACAGAAATTAGGAAAAAAACACAGAAAAGGATCCCTTCGCTACCATTAAAAAACAAGACCTGGCCTGCAGCCAGTTCTCATGGTTTTGGGCTAGTCACTCAGCCAAATGACAAGGGTGAGTAAAATTGACTTCTTTGCCTGTTTATTAGTTGTCCACCAAAATTTTTCCCTTCCACTTACTCGTAAATATTTTCCAAACTGAGCAGTGAAAGAGAAAAAAAAATAACACACTGTGAGCAGGGCATGGTTTCCGCTCAACTCACGGAAGACCGTGAACAATAAATGCTGCTTCTAAGAGCAGCAATACTAATGAAGTTTGGCTTGCTTGCTTTTAATCTCTCAACTCTTTCATATCTCCTCTTTTCCACCCCTGCAGATGTGCAGTCTCTGATGGCTAATTCTGGCTGTGCTGATGAGGGGAGCGGGATCAGCCCTCTCCTCCCTGCGGGCCCTTGCTCCCACAGCAAAAGTAGAAATAACACTGAGACTAAGATCAGCTATACTGTTATTTTTTAAAGCCCTGCATTTGCATCACCAGCAGGCAAGCCATGTAGTCAGCACAGTAATCTCTTGGCTAGTTGCTAAAGAGGGCCCTTTTCTTGGTTAGCAGCTAATAGCAATAAATAATAACTAATTAGCAAACGCTAATAGGCTTTTAGCAGCGCGTGGCCAGTGTGTGCATGGGTATGACAGTCTGGTAGTGGCACAAACTTTGGAAGAGTGTTCCTAGAAGCACTGCAATATGACACAGCACAAGGTAACTACCAGAGAGTTAATAATTCAGAGAATCCAGAGCAGATCAGGCACTGAGGACAGAGCGTGGCTTGGACAGGAGGGAGAAGAAAAAGCCTAAGACTTGAACAAAGAAGATAGCAAAGAACTCGCTCACAAAGAAAACACCAGGCCTCTGTTTAGTTTAATCTCAAGAGTTTCTAATCACAGGGTTCTGCTCTTTTCTTATGTAAAATTGTAAGTGCATGAACTTTTTTTTCATTGAAAGCAAGACCACGACAATAACTCTATCATTTACAAGATGTTGAATTTGTCTTTTACAGTTGTAGACTACTCTGAAATTCCTTCCCGTGGCTGGTTTCAGTGGACAGCAGCATTTGGAGGTATAATTTGATACAGTAACAAAGTTGTTAAACCTCTTAAAAACACCACCCCCTCTTCTGTCACCCTTGTGCCCTTTTTACTATAGACTAGCTTTGAAAACTGACTGGTTATATCAGCATAATGAAAATAAAAGCCCAGTTTTCTAGTTAATAAAAACCAAAATATGTTCCAAACTTCAACAGTTCCTTCATCTTTGGCAAAGAGATAAAAATAAGAAGAAGTTAGTTGTGGCTACAGAAAGATTTTGTGGTAAATCTCTGCTGGGCTATTTCACAAACAAAAGCAGCAGCTCTGGGTCACCCTCCTGTTTCAGGTACAGTGGACCGTGTTTCCTCTGAACCATGTTTGCATGTCAGGAAAGTCTGTCTGCCCGTGCTGCTGCCTCCTTCTTGAAATTTAGAGTCTTTTATTTTTTTGTAAATTGTTATCATCAAGTATTATCGTAACATCTATTTTTTAAAATTTTAAGATAACATTGCTTTGCTGATTGTTCCAATATCCCCTAACAATGAAATATAGTAATACAAAAGTTAACTAAGGTATAAACATGCAAAAGGAGAAGTCTCCCTGCGATCATAAAATGATGTTATTTTCTGTTCAGCAGTTCATGTTACTGCTGTTCATGCTAATTAATTAAAGGAGCTGTTGCTGTAATGTGCAAACAGGGAATCTGAGAAACTGAGAGGGCTTTTAGGTCTCGGAGTGAAGTTAAGTCAATCTGGGCGCGGGCAATCAAATGTAATGAAATCACTTGTCAGTGCTAAGCTTGCAAAAACTGTGAAGTTTGACTAGGGAGTAAAAGGATTATAATTAGATTTCCAATAGGATAATAACTAAATGGCAGAAAGCAGTAAAGAGAAAATATTACTTTGTTAGCTAATGGTGCTGCTGTTCGGTTTTAGTTTTTATCAGCACACTTGTAGTTGTGCTAATTTAATTTGCTTTTATCAGCAAAAATGCACTACTCCAATGGTACTTGAATGTCATTTGCAAAAATCATTGATCTGAAGGTGCACTTAATGACACCCAGTATGTTTATTTTATGTGAAACGGAGATTGGCTGATAAAATGGTTGATGCACTATCTTCCTGGCCCACAAGTGAGTTATGGAAGCAAGACCAGAAGGGTATCTGTGTGCATGCATCACCCTCTCCTGCACCACGCAGCTGCACGGGGGGCTTCGTGACTACAGCAATTATTACTTTTCTATTTTGTCAGCTAAAAAGCTTCTCTCGGATCAGGCTTTGCTGGACTAGAAGATCAGATTTATGGAGACTGGAGGTATTAGACTGTAAAGTTCAAAAAAGTTTTAAGTCTCGTCTGCACAAAATTTCAGTTAATATACAAAGCGTAGTGAAAATGAGTCAACTAAATGGGAAAGATTTATAATGCAGATCAGAATCAGTATATGAACAGCTTGTGTTAATAAAATCATTTTAAGAAATGAGCATAAAATATGATATGACTTAATCACTGTGAAAGGTGGCTGTGCAGTATTTTTGTAATTTTCCTTTAAACCGCCTTAAGGAGATACTGGCAGTGAAACTAATTGAATTTCAAAGGAGAGGCACTGTGCGAATGATAGATTTCTGTCCAGCAGAGCTATTGACAACAGCAAAAGAAAGGTCTGCATTGATGCTAACGCTTTTTTCTGTGCAATAGAGAGAGATTTTGGAAGCTTGGAAATAGCTTTGTATTAGGGACATGCATTTTGACCTTTCCTCCTCCCAGGGCCCAAAAAACAAAGGCAGTAAATGAAGGGGGCAATGAGGGAGTGTGCTCGAATTGTTCAAGATGGCAGTGCAGTAGTAGCTGTCAAGTACGAAAACTGTAATCAAAGGAAAAAGGAAAAAAAGGAAAGAGAATAAAAAGATATTTCAGTATCAGCATAAATAAAAATGAAAGAGGTGGTTCTACAGGACAGAAACACTTTGAAATCTAAACAAGCTCTATGGAGAGCTCTCCAGAAGCCTTTTTATCAGCTGGGAGTGCTTCGTGAAAAACTAGCTAAAGTCATCAGACTGTTGTTGGAACAGGAGTCCCACACCAAAGCTGTCACAGAGGCCGGCATACACCCCCAGTCGTTATGGTGATGAAGACCAGAGGAGCTTTGCCATTGAGGAGCACAGGACAGCTTTACAGCTCCTGTTGCCTAAGTCACCTTCTGCTTTCACAGAGGGGCACCAAACTGAGGGACACTGAACACAGGGTATACCCAGCTCTCCCTTTGTTCAAGCTCTTAACTTGAACAAAAACTTCATGATCCAAAGCCTGTTAAAACTCAAAAATGGTGTTGTTGGGATCAGATTTTTAAAAAAACCATCCAAACCAACCTGAAATAAAAATCATAACATCACAAGGTTTTCTTGTATATCAATAGACTACAGAAAGTGTACGAAAGTTCTCTTAATTCCTTCTAGTAAGTAAATGGTTGTTGGAATGGCTATGCATCACTTTCCCCAAAGTTATTTATAATAATTTTTGATGGGAAGACACATTTGAGCCAACTGTAACTTTTTTTCTTCAATTGAAAATTGAAACTAACTTTCACTTTTTTACTAGATTATGTCCAGATGCACCTTGGACTCTCAGAATCTTTTCGGAAGAGCACTGAGGACTCATCTCAGCAGGTATCACAAATAGATCAGAAACATTAGTAGTATTTTGCTTGTCAAATTTAAATACATGTGTCCAAAGTGCTCATCCAATATTTTGACTATTTCTGGCAGTAATGATTTTTCCAATTGCAATATTTAGAGCACAACTCTACTCATATGTGTACATACACACACACATATGTTATATGGATATATATGCATTACGATAAAGCTGTGATTCTCCTCCTTTGTAATACATACCATATGAGCCTAAAATCACAAAAAGAGACAGCAGTAAAAATATTTGAAAGCTTTCCTGTATAGATGACAGATGGACGACAGATGCATACCAGAGGTATGCGAACTCAAGCCTGTAGCAGTCAAGAAATGCTAGAAGTTATGTTTGTATCTATAACTGCACTGCAGTCCTTCTTCTGTCTACACAGAAGGGGACTGTCTTTAGTAACTTCAACCCGTGTTATTTTTTGCATATTACCATTAGATGATTCAGTGGAAAAGGTGGAAGTGCTCTAAAAAGAAGCAGTTACATAGAAACAGGCAGCTGTCTCCAGGCTGCTATAGTAGCCAGAGCAGAACTGAATGGTGTGTAATGAATATGGGACAGGATTGAAGGGAGAAAAAGATTGCTTTTATAGAAAACCAACACCACAAAACTAGACTTTCTCTAAAGTCAGAGAATTTCTATGTTCAGATTGCTCAGATTAAATTTTATCGCAGGTGACTATGGATTTTCTGTGTTTCTCAAATAAGCTTCCAGTGGTAATGGAAAAAACCCTTAAGATCTCCGTATCTGAGCTCCCCTAAATGATGATTACACAACTCCTTTGCTTCACAGCCTATAGCCAGAATACATTTATTATTTTTTGGGAAGCACTCAAGACAAATTTACAAACAGTAACTGAACACTGAGGAAAATATATAATTGCTCATAACATGAACATGACTTTCCTTTTGCACCTACAGTTTATGTATTTTTTGAAAACACCTGTGAACTTGATAGGGAGGTAAGGATCAGAAGTAAAATATTTTAGAAAGATAAATCATTTGTAAAATCACTTTTGACCTAAGCACAGGTATCTGAGAGTGAAATATGAGTTTTCCACACCTAACTTCAAACAAATTTAATTTCTAGTCCTGTAAAGTACTGATCTTACAAAGGTTTTCTATACGGAACAGGAAAACAAAATGAAGTTGTATCATTTACATTTTTCTTAAAGCAGGAAAACAGAGACAAAAACTATTCTGCATTTTATTTAATTTTTAGTATGGGTTATGATGAACACGGCTGTGATGCGATGTGGTACATACTGCACCTTGCATTGCTGCACTGTCATGTTGGGTTCCGTTGTGTTCTATTTCCATATCTGGGATTCCAGCATCTGAAAGACGTGACACTGAAGATTAATGCATTGCCCTTTGTCCTTCTCTCATGCATCTTTAGAAAAATATTTATAGCAAACTAGGGTGATCTCCAAGTTACACGGTCTTGCATAAAACATTTGGTCTCCATTGGATTTTTCAGTAGTAAATTGTTTCCAAAATGTGCAAACATTACTGGTCTCACAGTGAATTATTTTTAATGTGCTTCACATTTGTCTGACGATCAGATAATAACCAACACATGATATTAATAAGTCTGTAAAATTCTGTTGGAGAATGAGGGCATCTGACATGAAAAATAAAAGTCAAAATTAAACTGTGATAATATTAAACTACGTTAACCCTCCTAGCCATATACCTGCAAAGTACAGAATCAAAGAGTATAGCCAGTGCCAGTGAGCGTGTGTGTGTGCGTGTATCCATTTGTATGAGTGTGTGTTACAGGCAAGGACTGGGAAAACTGCATGTAAAAGACTGAGCTCAGGCTGGTGTAAGCATATGTTAGCACCAAACCACAATTACGTATGTGATATTATGTGAAACTTCTCCAGAGAAGAGCTTTCCAAAATGGACTGTGCTTTTTTCCAAGTTGAGAAAGAGTCTCATTATGACATGCACTTTTGAACTACTTGATTTCCTATTGCTAATACCTCTGTATGCACAGTCCTTCGGGGTGGGGGCGGGGCTCGAACACCCCAGGGTGTTAGGGTAACAGATGCCATTATCCACCTTGTGCCAACAAGGATTAGCATGAAGGGTATGTGATTTGAATCCACGGCACCTCCAATCCTGGAGAAACATCTGCTTCCCTTATAATATAGCACTTAGAAATTACAGCAGGAAAAAAACACACCTGAAAGGGAGCTGCATGTACCGTTTTGAAGTTTTCTGTGCAGAAGCCTGTTCTGGACTTTCTTAAATAGAGAACAACTGCACTGTCCCTTTCTCAGATCACTTTGTGTCAGTATCTATCGCAAAGATGACATTTTGCTGGTCACCCTACAGCCTGACCAAACTCTGTGTCAAAGCAGGGCAACAGTTAAAGTACAGGCCATACACAGACGAGTAATGTGAGTAATATCTTAGTAATTTAGGTGTCAGTGAAGTATATGTAATGTATGCCTATATAGTCCTACAAATATGTATGAGCAAATAAATATTGTAATGTATACAATTTTTTCTTATAAAATTGCAAGTGACTGCTATCACATAGAGTTTCCCTTATTCAGATTTATGTTTTGAAGGAAAGTTCAGGGCACTGAGCTATTAATCTAAAAAGGTTCTTTCTTTTCAAATGTTTTAGAATATATATTGTATATACATAAAATGACAAAGTCATCTGTAACTAATAACAACATCTGTTAAATGAGACAGACCGTCAGAGTTAAATGAAAAATATTCAGAATAGCCCTTCACATTTTGTTGTCATAAAATTGTACCTGCAATTAAATTGTGGATTAAGATGCTAATGAGCTACCTGATTTGCATGTGCAATCAGATTAGCATGTAAATATCAGCTTCTTGCAGGCACTAACATATATATGACTACCTGAGTGTGCCTGCAAATCAAAACGTTAGCAGCCAGGCCCACAATAGCAGATGTAAAGATCTGTTAATCACATTGCTGGCAGGTTGGTGCCCTTTAATTTGTGGCTTCCAGAACTGCTGAGTACTCTTAACTGTTGTGCCAGCGGCAGGTGCTTACCAGCAACGGCAGAACCCGGGCGAATGACCTTACAGAACATCAGGATTTAGGTTTTTTCTGACATTCAACTCAAGGTGCTGGGTATGTCTGCGGGAGCCGATCTGGGCATTTTTCTCATCCAGTGGAGGCAGTGGGAAGGGTTTCTGCTGGCTCTGTCCACTCACTGCCCCTGGGGTCACTGTCCCTTGTCACGGTGCTACTGCAAGCTGTATATCCATGCCTGAATCACCACCCTTCACTGTCAGTGCATCAGAAAAGCCAGCCAGTTCCTGGTTACAGTGATATGCTGGACTATAAAACCCAGCAGATGAGAATGCCTCTGAAAGATGTTGCTCTTGTACTTAAAGAGTTTATATCTCTTAGGTGCTCTAGATAAATCACAACTCACAGTCCATTGCGGAGTGTTGCAATGGCAGTTCACGTAGACAGGCTCGCCCTAACTTTAAAAAACAGCTCGGGTTGCCCTCACAACTGACAACTCAAGACAAGCTAAACTCATTATTTTTACTCAGCAGTTCAGGCAGGTTTTGCAGTCTGCTTATGTTGTTATGGCCCGGTTGCAAGCAGAGCCCAAAGCAGGCAGCACAAAGTTGTACAGACTGCAGGACGTACAAACGCAGCAGAGACTGAATGTCACTGATTGATGAGCTGCTGCAGAGGCCGTGGGGTGGGGACACACAGACTAAACCCAACTACAGAACCTGAAATCAATTAAAACTCAGGTAGGTTCAGTCTTCAAGAGTCAAACCAAAGCTCTAAACTTTGGCCAGAACCACATTAAGAAGGAGAAGCATATCTTCCTCTACCCAAAACATAACCACTCTGTTTAGGAGATTAACTGATTTGCTTTTGTTTCACAAGAATATTTGGGAAGTATTCAAAACCTAGTCAGCTCTGAAAGCTGATACATATTTAACAAACTTAATAGGTCCTGAGGCTGAGCAAACTTGAGCCAAACGGCTTTTAAAATGAAGCTCAGCAGTTCTAAAAATGAACCTGCTGGGAGAGAAGAGTTCAGAGAACCTTATAGGAACCAAATTTCACATTGTCTTAGCTGGCACTGTAACAGATTTCTCTGGTAATATATTCAGCATTTCTTGTCATATCTGTGTAAACTGCTCTGTCTGTTTCTCTAGTTGCAGACTTATTTATTTTTTTTAATTCATGACCCAGAGCACATGGCCTGAAATAGATTTTTAATTATTTCAGGAGAGGATTGTAATTTTTTTATTCTGGAATTTGCTTTGTGCATCATCTTACTTTTTTTTTTTCCCCACTCAATTAAACATCATTTTAAGCTAACTGTGAAAGGCCAACTAAGACATTACCATTTAACATCCTGAGACCGTCACCTGATGTGGCCTGTTTAAGCGCCTGTTCCACTTGTTCTCTTCTCTTTGATTCAAATTCCAAAGCTTCCTGCAATTTTCTCTTTGCCTTCTTTTCTTTCTTCAAGCGTTTCTGAATTGTTGCTGAAATGTAAATATATTGTAAGAATGGCTGTTAAAGCACAATTAATATATAATGGTGACAGTAAATGAGTTTATGTTCAATGTTCAGAGGCCCAATTCTAGCTCGAGAAAAAAATATTAAAATCTGGCCTGAATTTGATATAAAACCAAAAAAACCCCTCAAGTCATATCCTGTAGTGAAACAATCAACAATCTGAAAGGGCTTTAGATCTTGTTAAGGATCTTAAAATTCTTGCTCTGGAACAGCCCCATGGATTTAAGTCTCCATTCTCAGAGCCAGCCCGGTGGTTCATGTTACACAGACTTCACCAATTTGGACTAAATTCCAGCTCCAGTCCTGCAGAATTTGGTTGAGCAGATCATTGGCTTAAACTAGTTGCTAGCAACAGCAGCAATGGACATCCTCAGACTAATCTCTCGCTCTGCATTCTAACCTTTTCCCTTACTGCTGAGACTTATAGTGCACCCTCCTCCTCCAGTAGCTTTATCTAGAAGGATAATCCAAGCACACTGGTTATGTCTCCCCTGATCCCTCCTCAGGGATGGAGGAAGTCTTCTGAATGTGTCAGAGATTCAGTGCCAGTTATGTTTTCTAACATTCTAAGGAAATGAAATTTATTTCTGCAGGCAAACTGCCTGTGTGCAGCGTTGGAGCATCTGGAATGACAGTAGCAATGGTGTACAGAGCAAAACCCCACAAAATTAGACGGTAAATTTTTTGGTAAAAATGGGAGCAGCAGTTGGGTGAATTTTGAAGGAGTGTAACTGAAATAACGAGAACCACTGCCTAAGACAGAAGCCGGGTGTAAATAACGAGAACCACTGCCTAAGACAGAAGCCTATTGAGGGCTGGGCTATTGAGAAGCTGGGCTACGTGGGTACATAACTCAGATGAAACATCAAATGCGTAGAGAAGGGGTACGTACTGAGTAATGCACTTTTGCACTTCATCATCACTAGTGGGATAAAAAAAGAGGGAAAGCCGGAGAAACAAGAAAGCATGGGGTATATGTTGAAAATCTCAGAGAGAAATTAAAAGGGAACGTCCCAGGTAGAAAACGTTGAAAACAAGCTTTTAACACTGATAAGTAAATCAAGTATATTCTCTTCATTAGCAAATTCTCCTTCTAACTGAAGGACTCCATAAAACTATAACTAGAGAAATGTATAGTATTAATTGCAGCCAGATGACCTATGTCTTCATTGGGAACTGCTGACCTTGGCTATGATTGTATTCTCTCTCCTATATAAATTCAAGAAATAAAATGCACCTTTTAAGACTTTTCCTTTTCAAACCGTTAATCTTAATCCCATATTTAACCTCAATTTTCAGAGGCACCAGGTTACCATTACTTGGGCCAGAACTACATCTAAAATATCTGCCTTTGCCAAGCAAACTCCACAGGGCAGTACTTACTCTCGTGGATTCATCACCGAATCAAAGAAATGGAGAAGTGATGACTCTAGAAAACGTTGGTAAAACTAACAGGCTAAAAATTATTTGAGCTTAAACATAAATGTCTTCTAAAATTACCGTCTATTTAGTCAGGTTTGCTGGTGTGGGCACTCTGGCAAATACTAATCAAGTATTGTTACAAGGAAAGTTGAATTTAAACAAGCAGTATTTTGCAATCCCTTTTATTTCATTTGTTTTTCCTGTGTATTAGATAACTGTGAATTTCTAATCAGAAAATATTGTTAGAAATTTTACTAAAAAATCTGAAAAAAATCCACAGTATTTACATAGCTTTTTGTGACCACTTGTTCATCTGAATTCTTACTGACTTTTACAGATCTTTCTGGATTTGTTAATGCTCCAGTCGGGGGTGGGGGTGGTGGTAGATACCATTACACAGGAAATCTCTGAGAGACTTAATAAATATGAATGTCAAAATATGATCTGTAGAACATAACTTTAGAAAACTGAGCAACCCATGTGAAAAAGCCTCTCTCTGATTTTCTATAATAACAAAGATGTGTGTGTGGTGATGACCTGAAAGACAAACAATTCTGAGGATATTGATACTGACTGAGGATATTGATTATTGGTGAACTTCTCTATTGAGCCAGAAGCCAACAAAGTCTGCGAATGGCTTATGGTTTGTGTTGACTTAAGTGTGACTCGGGAGGGGCAGTGTGCTGTCTGCCTGCAGGGAGATCAGTTCTGTTTTACAGAAATACAGTAGCCTCATCCACACTCGGACTGGGGTGATGCAACATTTCTGAACACCTACTGCAATTTAACAACTAGTATTTACTGACTCTTCACAACTGGACTTAGAAGTGTCCTTCTCTGTTGCCAAGACTTGGTGCTACTCTGTTCTACACACCTCATTTCAATTCAAAATGCACAGGAAGCACTTGGCACCTACAGTTTTGGTCTTATCTAGTTTTATCTTTCTGATTTCATGGATGTAATCTAGAAGTAGCTTTTGGCACATAAAGTACTATTTGTCTCCTTCAGATGCAGATATGAATTTTAAAAAGAATACTGCCTTCTTTGCAATATCACAGCGAAAAATTCAGATTTACCAATTTAAGTGCTTATTATTATCAAAAGCTTCTAAACAGTCATGGTTTTGTCTTAGAAGGCCCCATATGGGGACTGCTATTGCATCTCACTCTCCTGATGGAAAAAAAAAATTATCTACGGTTATTTGCTTCAGATCCTGCACTTGGGTAAACAACTTCTTACCTTCTTGCAGTTCCGTCTATTTTATTGCACCAAAGTTATCTACAAGAAAAACTAGCGGACTAGCACCTAAACTACAGAAATGTGGGCTAGAAAAAGTAAGGTAATGAAAAAAAATCACCTAAATACCCAAATTACAGACATATTATCCTTCTCACAGTAAGCCCAATCCTCAATGCTTGGAGGATAATAGCAGAAAACAAAAGAAATTAAAGCTGTCAAATGAAGAAATCGGGCTGGGAATACACAGGCCGAGTGGTAATAATACATGTGAAAGCTATGGAACTGAATCAGCTTTCCTCCCCAGAACCAGCCAAAACTCTCTGCGGCCAGTTGCCCTCCAGGAAATAATCCTTCAGTCACTGTTCTGTCTGCTTACAGAAAAGTGTGCTTCATTCTGTTTTTATTAAATTTAAATCTTTCATTACCAGTGCTAGTCCACTGCTGCATTACACTGAAGTATGAATGTCAGTTAACTCCGAGTCCTCAATAGCTCCAGCTGGAAATGCCAAAGGGTTATACATTTAATAGATATCTAAACTCCATTTTTCATTCACTCACCTCTGCTTTGCAGCTCAGCTGTGAGTTGCCTTTCCAAGCTCTCTCTTAGTTCTCTCTCTCTACAGAGCTCCATCTTTAACTCTTTCTTTTCCTGCTGTATCTGCTTTTCCTGGACTCTTGCATTGTCCACAGCCACTTTCAGCAGGCCCTAAAACACACACAAAGTTATGAACTGAAAATATTATTTTGTTTTAGCAGTAGACGCAGTGCTTAGTGATATGGGTTAGTGGTGGTTTTCATCAGTGTTAGGCTGATGGTTGGACTCGATGATGTGAAAGGCCTTCCAACCTAGACAATTCTATGATTCTATGACAAAATTCATCCATTTGTTTCTTTTACACCCTCTAGGAAAACAGAAGAATAAAAAGCAGGAACCCATAGACCTGGAATCCAACTGGGCATTTGAAGTAGCTACATGTTATATATGAGCAAGTTTGTGGCATGAAATCATTCAGCATAGCTTTTGCTAATTCATCCTACTGATGTGGTTTATTAGAAACGGGGTGCCGTATCATTGCTGACCTTGGTCAACTGCAGGAAGAAGCAAAGGAGGAATAATGAGACTGGTGAATTTTAATATGAGCATTATTGCCAACTATTAAATAAAATAGACAATGTATGAAACCCTTTCATGATCGATAATGCCAGACAGTGGAAACCTAAGCATTTAAATAAAAGAAATTAGAATTGCAGATACAAAATAGTTTCTGAAACTTTCTGAAGAGATTGAAAAAGAAACACATTTTATCTATCATGACATTGCCTGGCTCCAGTGAGAACAGTTTACCTGAATGTTGGTTAATAGTGTTTCTACTGATGAAAGACCATCAGCAAAAAGAAATGGCGCCGGAAATCCTGGAGGCAAGGCCTGTCCAGCCAGTTGGACTTTTTCTAAGGTTGGTTTCATTATTGGAATGGCAATTTGGACCTCTTCTGTAAAGATAGGTTTAAAAGCAACATCAGAAAGCTTTGGAGATGCAGGTAAAAGTAACTTCTAGAAACTAATATTCTGTTCAGCTGGAAATCAAAATACAAGCGTGTTAGTAGAAACAGATATTGTTTCAGTCTGGACAGGTGTGATTTTTGCTACAGTAAGTTTCCAAAACAGTACACAACAATAATAAATATACCAAAGACTATAATGTAGTTGTAATAAAGACTATTATATCTCAAATTCTACAGAATTATACTACAGTATTATGCACTTCATTAAACCAGAATGACCTTTCTTCATTCTATCATGTTTGCCATTCTGTGATGTACATTTTTTGTTGCTGTAACCTTGACAAAATTCCAATCAAGAAATGTATCATATCTATTTACTCCTTTAACGTTATCCTTCCCATACTCAGCAGTAAATAATCTCCACTGAGTCATCCCTCCTGCTTAGCTAGCACCAACTCCACATTGTCAGTAAAGTGTCAGCACAGGTTTTCTTAACAAGTACCTTGCTACTGTCAGCCTTTCTAGTCGCAGGCAGCAGCCAAAACTGCTTTGCTGAGTTATCTCTATCTGAGGCAGAGGAGAGCTGGGTGGTGGGGGGTCACAGCAGAGGGCACCCCGGCACAGAGCTCGCTCCTGACATTTACCGCACAGAACTCGACTGATGCATCACCTGCAAACTGTAGAATCGGGACCTGGTACCTTCCCCTTCACTCGCTGTTTCAAATACAACATGTTGCTATAGATCAGCTGTTTATAGATGTGTGTGTCCTCATCACAGAAACAACATTAGTAATAATTTTTTTAAAATCCTTTAAATTGTGATCAATCAGTACTATCACCAATGAACTTGCATTTTTGAAGAGGATAATTTAAAGGTATTTATATAAATTATATAAATATTTATGTAAAATTATATAAATCTATTTATTTTAAAAATCAAGTCAATTGCTGAAAACTACAAAATTAAAATCTGCTAGCAGTCCTTAAACCCGAGCTCTGTACATTTCTTTTACTCTGAAATGTTGAAAGAATATTTCTGTATAGTATTCCAGGGAAATCCAGTCTATATATATTATGTTCCTGCACTTGCAGAAATAATGAAGAATATCTTCTCAGCAATTGCTTTTTAGTAAAGCTTTCAACTAATGTATTGACCATAAGTTCATGAAGCATGTGTTTTCTAAGGGCAACTGCACAGCCAGTCCTGATAGTTTCATTTGTCAAGTGTCTTGGTCATATTAAAGCCAGGATTTACAATTAGACTCTGCCACATTCTAAAGGCCTCCTTCTTCTACCTCTTATTAAAAAAAACCAAAACCAAAAAAACCCAAAAAACAACCTCAGAAAGAATCTGACAAGAAGGAATTAAACCATGGTGTCTCTACAGCAGTACCATTATCTAGTTTAACAAACTCCAGGAGCCTCTACTGAGCAGCAAACACTTTTTGCTGTTTCTAAAACACCCCTACTGACAACGAACCAGCAGCATTAGCAGTTTTCAAGTATTCTTTGAAATCTCTGTTTAGGGAGTGTTTTGTTTTCACCGTGTAAGTTCATTAAATGGAACATGTTCATAATGATTCTTCGGGACTAATAACAACAAAAGCCAGCAACCCTTCGTAGCTATCATTTCAGAGCTCTGCTCGTGTAATTTAAATGATCCATTAAAAAAAGCCCCACAAAACACAACTCTGGAAACCCACTCAGACCACGGAGTTTGTGCTGATTCAGATACACCATTTCTTATATTTAAATATGTTATATCAGTGGCAGAGTTTTAAAATAAACGGATTAATGGTTGCATGTGGTGTTACACAGAAATAATATCTAAGCCGTGGACTCACAGAAGACTAAACAGAAGTGGCATTTAATAAATACATGAAGTATGCATAACAAAACTGTAGCTGCCTTAAAATCTCTAGAAATCTCTACTATTTGGAGATGAAAGTAATAACATTCAATTGGCCGAAAGGAAAATTACTATTGACTGTGAAGACAGGTTGCATGGTCTATGGTTTGTAGTGTTACTGTACAGCAGATTGAAGTTTCAAAATAGTATTACTCTTCTTTAAAGAGTAATACACAGCTAAATTAGGTGCTGCTTGCTGCAGTGAGGATCAAATGCAAAAAGAATCGTATTTCATCAGACCTAGTCAACACCAGGAAAATAAATAGAAATATAAGAGGTATGCAGGCAATGATTCATTTTGATAATCTGGCCCAAGAGAGACACATAGAGACAGCACACAGATCTAAGCTTCTACCAAAAGACAAATAGGACACAGAGGGTGGGAATTGGGATGACAGTGTAGCAGAGGTCACATCGATTTTCAGCAGCAGTTTTCACACAGATGAGATAACCCTGGACTCTATTTGGCCCATTGTTCATATCCTACCTGTCCCAGAAGCAATAAATTTCCAAGTCCCAGAAAAAGGGCAGTAAAGAAGAAGGATTCTACTTATGACTTCTTATGATTAAGTTTTTGTGCTAACCAAACATGCTTTGCAGACCAAGGTCACATTGCATGTTAAAGTCTGTAATAGCTGAAAACTAGAAGCAGCATATTATGCTTTAGCGTATATGGGTGGAAACTGTCAAACCATTCATCTTTTTTTTTTTTTTCTGATTGAAATCACACTCTGCAAAGATGAATGATAAATGCATTAGAAATCTATTTCAATCTTGTAATAGGTCTTCACATCTGAATGGTGTCTACATCTTGCCCACATTCTGAATAAGTGCACAGTTAGGCAGAAATTTATTAGCTAGACTGGAGAAATCATAATTGGTAAAGCAATTAAAAATAGCACATGTTGGAAGCATTTTTTGTGGATTGTATCAAATGCATCTCTTTAATAGAAAAAAAGATGTTGATATAAGCATTTTGATTTTAAAGAACACTAAAAATATAAATGCTAAAAGCTGCACTCACACTTATAGTACAACAGAATAAGCAAGAAATAAAGCTAGGACAACTACAATCTAACCAAGGACACAAACAACCTTTCTATTTATTGAAGCAAAGTGGGAACTTTTATTGAGCTTGCTTGTTAAACCTGCCATGCTTTATAATAGCGTTCAGGAATCCATTTAGAGTGCAGTCTTTTTATTTTAATTTCTAGCTGGCATCCAGATGAATAGACGAAAGCGAGAATTATATTGCACAGAAAAAAAATACACAGTAAACACTAACAATGAATGGAATATTATCCCAGGAAAGCACATGGAAATCTGCTAGAAAGTTTCTTGTTCTTAATTCAGTATACTAAAGTATTTCATCTTCTGTCTTCTGCCTAAGTTGCAGAAATGGGGATTGGAAAATGAAGCATCAACCTATGGACTAAACGCAGCACTGGGAAAACGAGTAACGTCGATTGCTCCCTGCGTGACAGTGCATGGCCCAAACCAACAGGCAATTTTATGTGCCAGCTGGTTTATATTCTTTCAGAAGGCATGTTTTTAAATCCATCATTCGTATACCTGATACATTTGACATGTCACATCCCTCTCAAAACAAGGTAGAAATATTAAAGCTACAATTTACATATTTCCTAACACTAGTTGGACTACCAAGTTATTTCTTCACACACGCTTCAAAACTTTCTCTATCTGGAGATATATGTGTAAGTGTTATATGTAATCCTCACCTCAAATAGCTTATAAAATATAACTCATGCATAAAATAAATATGTGGCATATGGAGAAAAGAATAACAATTTATAGTTATTAATCTGCTAGTTAGTAACCAAGACATTTGATCTCAGAAAGCCTTCAGCCACAATTAATAAGATGGTTTTGAACATGGATGGCAGCTGGGTCACTCCTTTTCCTTGCCTGTGTGTGGCACACAATTTAGAAAACTAAGGACTAAAATGGTTTATCACAATTATAATTCTTGGAGTTTCCTACCTGAGTGATGGGGATTGCATTTAATGGTCCATAGTTACAAAAGAACAGCTTAGGTACTCTAATGGACCTTTTTGACCTTTAATAAAATAAAACAGAGGATCTTCAACACCAGCTGAATTGTATGTGCTACTCATGGCTGAAAATAAGAGATACATTTTTATTTGAAATAGCATTATTTGTCCAAAGATCTTACAGAATCATCCAAACCAATATATCTTTATAGTGGCAAGAGGTTCCTTGACTTCCAGTTACGTATCTACTTCACAACAACAGTGATAGGCAGCGGTGGCCAAACATGGGTATTTCGATAGAATTAGGGCCCAAATTCTAATATTGGACTGCAAAAATAAGTTTTTCAAAAGTGAGATTTCTTATTTTCATTTTAAACCTTGGCAACTTCTGTGTTGCTTAACTAGAAACTAGTAGATTTTTTTTTCTTTTACAGTAGGGTTAAGTATGAAAAATGTGTAATCTGAAGTATTGTTTATTTCATGTATTTCGTGTCTGTAGGTCTGCAAGGACAGGGTTATCCATCTTCAGTGTCTTAATAACTCTGAAAATCCTCCATAAACCTCTGCCTACCTTTTTCTCCCTCACTCATTGCTTCTCTGCCAGGAGCTGAGCATTCCTGTTCATCAGTGAGAAAAGAGATACCTCCTCCTAACCTGGCACCAATCAGACTTAGAAATTTACTGCTTTAACCTTGTGATTCAAGTGCCAAATTTGAAGTCATTGCTGTTTTTCTTAATTACAGTCCCTGAATGAACAGGGTCAATGAACGCAATTGGGGAGTAGCTGATTAATCCAGTGCACTAGCTTTAAATCAGACTTTATTTCAAATGACTGATACAACTCGATAGCAAACAAGCATTTTTCACTACTGAGCTTTGCCATAAAGAAACCTCACTTTCAAAATTGTATCTAATAATTATATATACATTTCCAGGCAGCCTTAAAAAGCTTTTGGAAACTATCACGAAACAGTAACATAACTATGTTCCGCTTCACAGTACCCGTGTCCAAGCTAGTTCTCACCTACGCACTCGGAAATCATTGATTTTGTCCCAAAGAAGTGTTT